TCTACTAAACTACAGCAAATACAGAGAGTAGTGTAGGCCTGTTATATATATTTTTACACATTGCTCTGCTTTCTGCACAGACCTCACAGCTGTTCTCACTGTAAACATCGCGTCGCGATGAAAGCAGTTAATAAAATAATATCCAGGGGATGCATGCAGAGCTGTGATTGGCTGAGATAAGTCCGGCCGTGCGTCACGACTCTTTGAAACATCTCTGTTCCCGGAAATACATCCACGAAGGAGCCGTGGAGGAGCCATCAGTGTCTCCTCGGTTAGAGCTCCTCCAGAGAGCCTTCTCTCTCCTCTCTCCTCTCTCCTCCCTCCTCTCTCCTCGGTTAGAGCTCCTCAAGAGAGCCTCCTCTCTCCTCTCTCCTCTCTCCTCGGTTAGAGCTCCTCCAGAGAGCCTCCTCTCTCCTCTCTCCTCTCTCCTCNAGATGTCCTTCAACATGGCGCGCTGAAATTCATTTCCGGGTCACAACCGGAGGACCGAGGAGGGGGATTTGACTAAATGAGAAAGTGTGTGTGTGTGTGTGTGTGTGTGTGTGTGTGTGTGTGTGTGTGTGTGTGTGTGTGTGTGTGTGTGTGTGTGTGTGTGTGTGTGTGTGCTGGGTTTCGATGTATCTCGCTGGCCACGCAGGAAACCACTCCAGTAAGCCAGCTCACACTGTCCGCTCCTCGCAACGTCCCGCCAACACGGCACCTACACCCCACGCAGCATTCTCATCTGTTTGTCCTTACTGGTGTCATTTTCTGGTTGCTAACGCCATTGTAACACATAATCACTGGTGTTCCGCTGTAACACTGGTGGACTCATCAGAGCACACTGGGCTCACAGGGAGGGGGGGGGGCAGGAGCTCCAACAAGCCATTTAGGACAGAGAGTGAATACACATACTATACAGAGATGCTGTATGAGAAACCAATGTGAGTTTGGAACATTGAACAATGTAAATCTATTCNACATCAGGGAATCCATAAAATACTTCTTCAATGGCCAATAAGTTTCATATGGGCGTGTTGTACTATAATATGAATGTTTTGGGTAAAAAGCAGTCAAATTGATGTAAGCACTGTCTGTGGTCAGCAATCAGGTGATCAGCGTTCTAACCATTTAAACAGCCTGTTCATTATGAGAGCTGATATGCTCTTAATCTTTGTTGGAATTTTTATTTTAGAAACTTAATATTATTCTGCAGTGATTCCCCAAAGCTGTGAAGAAAATCTGGTCATGAGGGTTGCATGTTTACAAAAAGAGGAGCTTAGTTTACACACCAAAAACAATTTATATTTTAAAAAATTGCTATTTTCATGCGTGAAAAGGGGCTCAAGTTTGTGAGCAGGGGGGGTTGGTTGAGCAGACTACTGCTCCAACTCACTATTCGGAGGTTTCTCCTCAGTGGACAGGCGCAATGAGGACGAGCAGGCAGACTCTGAGCTGCTGCTGCCGCTTTCTGGAAAACAAAAAGATGAAGCACCCCTCCAGCCAAAGTGAGGTTTAAAACAGGGAGAGGTAGATAGCCGGTTTGCAGAGCTGGAAGCAAAATGTGGGTGCAGCACAGCAACATATAGAGGCTGAATGGTTTGGTTATTAATAATTCAGAGTACCCTAATACTACAGTATTGGAAGGAAACTGGAACCTGTTAAAGCATTGTGAAAGGTGACCTCAGAGGAACATTAGTGTCAGCACTGTGATGTTTTGAGATGACTTGTGATCTGTTTTTAACGATTTACGCTTAAAAGGAGGAGGAAGGTGAGAATACGAGGGAAACTCCTAAATGAGAGGGGTGTTAAGTTTATGTAAGCCTGTTTGAAGGTAGGACCTAAAAGCAGCTTCTGTTTGATTCTTATCTGAATGCTGACTCATGTTACAGTTTAAACCACATACCCATTATACGGATGTTTATCTAACCATTTACAAACCCCCTGGATGAAAGAATAACCCTTCTCACAGGTTTATGAAGGTTGCATAATCAGGTTTCAGTCATGTTGCTCTATTGCACACAGAGAGCATTAATTACAACTTCTTACCTCTTCTTCTCCTGCGGCATTCTCCTTCCCCCCTTCCTTCGTCATCACCTTCATCCATCTCTTCTGATCCACTGCCTTCTGAGCCAGAGATCTCTTCACCTACAATCGCACAAAACAACATTTTAAAAAGTCAGATTGGAAAAAAATACTGGAATTTAAATCCAAAAAGCTAGATTTATTTTACTGGTTGGCTCGTTACCTTCCACTAGTTTCTTCTTTAGCTCCTCAATCTCCTTCTGAAACTGGCGCAACAGGGCATCCTTTGGATCCTCATTGATCCTGGCTTTGTTCTTGATGTTTTTAGCCCTGTTAGCGTAACGCAGGGTACTGATGGTCTCATCGTAGTTATAGTCCGCAGGGCCTATATTCGCACACTGGTGGGGAGAAGTGTGTCTTTTTAAAAGTGAGGCAACATCTGTTATGTATTTAAAACTTGATAGATTTGTGATAGATAGTTTTGTGTGCAACTCTAACTAACACATGCTTCAAACATTCTCTCTACCATCATGGTCTTGGAGTTTCCTCCCAGGGAATCCTGCAGCAGACGGGTTAGTTTGGAGTTTCTGTAGGGCACGTGTGTGCTTTTGCCGTCCACCAGGGCAGAGATGACGTTACCCAGCGTGGAGAGAGAGAGATTGATCTTTGTCGCTTCCTTTAAACGCTGACCTGTGGCTCCAGTCTTGCCCTGTCTCTCTGAGCCCTGTAGGGGATGGAAGACAGATGAATTGGTGGTGTTCAGATGGATAATTGCCAATAAGGCATGTCCTAGTGGCATCCGTATGATCTTATTTTCCAGGAAGTTTATTTTTTACTCAGAACTTTTGGTCGGATGGTACATACTGCAAGATCAACCAGATGAAGTTTCCCCATGCGCACATGTTGGTTTCCATCTACTCCCTTCTCACTGCACTCGATGGTGATGGTGAAGATAGCATGGGAGCGGGAGCTGTGTTCATTCATGTTGGTGGAACCGACAGACCCTGAACACAGGGAAATATTATTAAAATCAGACAAAATCATGTACCTATGTCGGTATCACTTTACAATAAGACTACCCTTATAAAGGGTTTACGAATAGTTTGTAATTCATTCATTAATTAGGTTGTGAACACTTTATAAATCATTAATAAGCTTTTATAAGACATGAGATAAACAGGGCAACTGTGACCGGTTGCTGGCCAAATAGTGAGCCTACAATTATCTGTACTGCTAAGTCTTCTATTGGCTAACTAGCTTACTTCGTCTCCTTCATCAGCCAAGTAGCTAATATAAGGCTTCGTCATCTTGCCAAATAGTGAGCCTGTATTGATGTATGAAAACTATGTTAGAACTGGTTTATAAATGGTTCTTAATGATTAATAAAGTGTTTACAACCTAATTCATAATCTAATTATAAACCCTTTATGAATCCTTTATTCCTTTAGTCTTATTGTAAAGTAGTACCCATATGTCTGATACACACTTGTGTACTTTCAAGCCTTTCATCTTTTTAATTATAATTCCTGCATTTTCTGATTATTAACAGCATAAGCCCATTGCTAGATAGAATACATGTAAATAAATAATGAATTGAAGAGATTTTATTTGATGTACATAAATTAGCTAAATCCACACAGCGACATGTATCTAATGCAAGACTGAAAGATTTCTCAAGCCTGTTTAATGTTCGTCTTTACTTCGAGGGCTCGTTATTATTTGTTCTTGTATATGAGGTTTTCCTCTACTAGCCCACAGATAAATATCTCTGTATTTCCGTTTAGGTATGTATTTCCTATTTCATGCTTTCAGTTATTTGCTTACGATTTTTGTGGCCCATAGTCATAATCCTGTCCATGTCGTCGGCATTGTTCACAACGTAACCAGAGAGGTCTTTTATGTACACGCCGACATCTGGTCTCTCTTTCACCTGTAATGAAATAATGTAACATTATTATGAACTACTGCTACTGGTGTCAAACACTAGTACAAGCAAATCTATTCAGGCATCTTCTAATGGTTTCCTGTTTGGAAAAATGACTATTGTGCCCTTTAGTACATATCTTCCAAGACAGTTTTAATATGAGTCACTGAACCATGTTTGTTTTGAATATCCGTTTACCTCGAGCCTCTGCAACTGATCCTTTCCCAACAAGTCTCGCACTTCCTCATTGTAGATCTCCAGGTACGAAACACGAACCAAAAACCTGTGGAAGTTAAATATTTATTTCATTATTAATTCAGAACAATGCTTAAAGGTCCCATGTCATGGCCATTTCTACTGAGCATAATTCCATTGTTGAGGTCTACTAGAATAGATTTACATTGTTCAATGTTCCAAACTCACATTGGTTTCTCATACAGCATCTCTGTATAGTATGTGTATTCACTCTCTGTCCTAAATGGCTTGTTGGAGCTCCTGCCCCCCCCCTCCCTGTGAGCCCACTGTGCTCTGATTCGTCAGGACGTTGCGAGGCTCGTTGCTGGTTTCCGGGCCGGCGATACAGCGAGACAAGCAAACTCATCCTNGAGATTTTTAGAAATACTAACATATAAACTACGGATTCTGGTACACTCTGAATATTAATATTAATATTTCGGGTAGTAATAGATTTATTTATTTTCTTCTCAGAGTGTACCAGAATCCGTAGTTTATATGTTAGTATTTCTAAAAATCTCGGGGTTGGGTTTTCAGCGTGTGTGCCTTTTTATGTGATACAGTTCAGCTTTGATTCCATCATCTCATTAAACCTTTTTAAAAAGAGCATACTTTAGTTCTGTGAAGGGATATAAAGGATATATGTACTTCACTTTAATTAATATTGTATGCTGAAAAGCGTATATATTACAGCACAATTTTTTTGTTGAATAGAGTGGTTCAAAATGTCGGGTCGCGATCTATTGACAAAGGAAAAAGTGGGTCCCGAGGCCTGACCAGTTGAGAACCACTGATCTACAGTACATCAAAGTCTTGTTCTGCATCATGATTTGACAAAAAGGTCCCTCAAAGACGCAATTCACCCACATCATGTTTCATTATGTAAAGTGATGCTTTTGGTTTTGAGTTTTTTTTCCCTCATGTCTAGTCACTGTCTCATCTCCTCTATGATATTTTGTTATTACTGAAACGTCTCTTTCTCTTGTTGACTTGCCTTTCTCCCCCTCCTTGACCCACATGTGGTGTTCTGCAATCCGAGTTATAAGACTTTCGAGATTACTCTGTAACCTGTTGCTCTCTCTCTCTCTCTCTCTCTCTCTCTCTCTCTCTCTTTCCTCGTCTGGGTGCAAATGCCGCCTGTGTGACTTGCTATACACCTCTTAATTGAAGAAGAAAGAGGTTGGTGTAAGAATCTACGGTCCTACTGTACGGTAGCAATGGTGTTTCTCCTCGCACAAACTATCCAGATGGCTGCCGTGTGTTTCAGTAGCTTTTTCACTAACTGACTAATCTAATAATGGAGGTTTTTGCATAATCTCTGTTAACATTTTTCTGTCCATCCATATATGTCCACCCATGTGTCTCATGCTCCCCACCTCCATTGCCACGCTGTCATTAAGAGCAATGTGCACTTGATATAGTTCCCCCTTTATTTATTTAAAATGTTGCTTACACTAACAGCATCATTCAATATGTGCATTAGCAAGTCACAGCTTTGTGTAGCTCAAACTCACTGGCACTTATTGTTAGGACTTCTGATTTTTCCCAAATCCTCTCATAATAAACAAATACTAATACTGATTAAAACCCACAGTATAGAAAGAATGAATCTGCACTTAAATCATTGTGACCCATGCACTAACTTGATATAGGAAGATGCATCTAAAACAGCGTGTTCATTAAAGACACTATGGTTTCCTGTTTGTCTCTCTGAAGGGAAGAAGAAGGTTTCCCCGGACAAGATGGTGGAGATGCAGGCAAAGATCGAAGAGGAAAGAAAGGCCTTGGAGGCCAAGCTGGACATGGAGGAGGAGGAGAGGAACAAGGCAAGAGCAGAGTTGGAGAAGAGGGAGAAGGACCTTCTTAAAGCTCAGTAAGTCCATGAAAAGACAACTATAAGTATTACTCTTTTGAAATGTGGTATTCATACTATGATTCTCCTCTAATCCCTCAGGCAGGAGCATCACCTTCTGCTGGATAAATTGTCGGCCTTAGAGAAGAAGGTGATCGTGGGGGGGGTGGACCTCTTGGCCAAGGCTGAGGAGCAGGAGAAGCTTCTGCAGGAGTCCAATAGCGAACTGGAAGAACGTCGCAGGAGAGCGGAGAAGCTGCGGAGGGAGCTAGAGGAGAAAGAGGTAAAGAAACAAAAAAGATTCCACAGCCATACACCTCACACGGTGTATAGATCAGCTGATCCCGCCATGCGTTTGTTAACTGAAATGATGACATCAATGTGTCATCAGTTTCATCATATTGCACTTTCCTGCTGTAACTGTAGTAAAGCTGAAGTTAGAGTCTCTAGTATTGACTCTTAAGATATCTAAAGAAAATGTGTTTTTTTTTCCCCTGGTATAATGGTTTTACTTCCATAAATAAAGAAAATATTGCGATATGATCACACCCCAAATCAGGCTAGGTGCATAAAGTTCCCCCCCCCACTTCCTAGCTCACTACTTAAGGCCTCTCGCTGTCACCACACGTATCTTCAATCTCTGCCTGTATTACGATCTCAACTCCACATCTGTCATACTTTCATGGTTGTGCAGTTATTGAAGACACACACACACGCACGCACGCACGCACGCACACACACACACACACACACACACACACACACACACACACACACACACACACACACACACACACACACAGAGGAACAAGATGAAAACACTCCCATTGTCTTAGCTGATTATTAGAATTGTATCGTCTTCAGCCAAACATCTGACGCCTACATCTCTGCTACCCTGCTCGGCAGAATACGACCTCATTGTTGGCAATTTCAGTGCCATTTGTATTATCACTAAAGTGACTGCATCATTGTGGTTGGAGAATCAGGTCGGAAGCCCCCTCATTTCCGTCGTGTAAAAAGAATTCACAGAAATGGGAAATGATTTTGATATCTGCCCTTTATCTTTGGAGCCTCTTCAAAGACCACAGACTACAGCTTGTTTGCTACTGCACCGTCACTGATCCCTCTCTCTCTTAAAACAGCAAGAACGTCTGGACATAGAAGAGAAGTACACCTCTCTGCAGGAGGAGGCTCAAGGAAAGACCAAGAAGCTGAAGAAAGTCTGGACCATGCTGATGGCTGCCAAATCAGAAGTAAGCTAAACATAAATGAGATCATACATGTGTGGGTAGGAACCAACAAACATGAGAGACAGAATACAAAATAAAAAAGCAAATTCAATCAGAGCGCACATTCGACCATGAAAATCAAAGCTTGGTAAAAGTAAGTCTTGGGGACAAGTAGGGGACTAGGTCACATGTGAGAAAAGAGTGTGTTTGGGTGGGACAAGTAGGGATATGTTACTGTGATGCTAACAAGTAGTTTAGTTTTCAATATAATGTCCATCCAACCCTAACAAATAAGAATTTCTATTGAAACTATAGCCTATAAACATGAATTACAAAAAAACTGTTTGCAAAAACTATGCAAAGAAGACCTTAAATTTATTTATTTATTGTTAATGGATTTTTTTCCCACTAACAATCCACATCCAAGCAATCTCAGAGTCTTGAAAAATGACCTAAGCTGACCACCATAGTTCTCTCAATGCTGTGACTGCTAGTGCTGCACGGTGTGGTGAACTCTAAATCAGCTGCTGCTGCCTTATCTGTTTGGTAATCCTCTCTTGGTTTTTCTTTATGAGCCTTGCATTTCCTGTGAGTCTTTCATATAGTGCCGCTTCAAAACTTATTCACCTCATGCGACATTAAAAAAAAACTCTGGCAAGCGTCACACAAAACTCTGTGGAAATCAAACTCCATCAAGAGAAAAAAAAAAGAAAAAAGATCGACATCTGACACAGCTAATGCTGATAGCCCTCTCTTGCTTTCTAAACAGCCATTGGATAAAAGCCAAGTTTCAACTTTCTGAGCGACTATCACCGACATGCAGAAGTTTGTGTGATAATATTATAAAAAATGCTCTGCAGTCCCGCACAAAGCGGGGTACCTGTTCACTCTAGGGACAAAGAAAGGCACGTTTAAATATAGCATATTTGAACAACAAGACAATTGAAAGTGTTCTACAACATCAAAGCATCAGGACATAGCACACACACGATACAAAATACATTTAAATACATGTGAAATCAGGCAAGAAAATATATATGTATTAAAAAAAAAAAGCTAAAATAAAATCAGGAAGGTTTACACTACCATAATACATTTCACAGTGATGTGTAAAATATACATTATTATTTGATTGCAAATAGAAAAGTCTTTATCCTTGATTTAAAGAAATTGTCATGGAGTTTGTTCCAGATCAATGGAGCATAAACACTGAATGCTGAGTTTAACAACACAAATGGATCCACGGTGGCTGTTTTGTGTGTTAGATGGCAGATCTGCAGCAGGAGCATCACAGAGAGATCGAGGGCCTCCTGGAGAACATCCGGCAGCTCAGCCGAGAGCTGCGGCTCCAGATGCTCATCATAGACAACTTCATCCCCCAGGAGTACCAGGTGTGTCTGTGTTTGTACTCTAACATTTATAGCACTACGACTTTGTCTCATTTTCACTATTTTTTTTTGCTTAATATCCATCATTATCATTCCTTCACATTAGAACAGACAATTAAGTGTCTTTAAAATACAAATGAAATACTTACAGTCTTTCCTCTTTCACTTTATTTTCATCCATATGGATGTTTTGTTTCTGTTCTGTGTGCAACAAACTTGCTCTTGAAAAGCAGCTATTACAGTAAAACCAATGACAATCAGTAAAAAATAATGCATTATAAGATTAACTGATTTAAAATATGCCTATGGGTTTATTTTCATTTATGTAAAAAAACTCATGGACCTGGCTTGTACATCGCTGACAACTTAATTAACGCACAAAATCATGAAAATGTAGCAGGTGCACGCGTTGTATACATATTTTTGGGGATTTTGCAGAAACAGCAGATGTAAAAAGAAACTGGATTTGTCATGCCTGCAGGTGACACCAGTGTAAGACCTTTATAAACCTGCTTGCAGTGCGCCTCTGTGGTTAGATCAATGAGCTGCTTTAGGGATTAATGTCTGTCCTCACTTCTAGTCCTTATGTGTTCTCTCTTTCCTGTGTAGGAGATGATAGAGAATTATGTGCACTGGAATGAAGACATTGGAGAATGGCAGCTGGTGAGCTCACTCATGAACACACTGGTTTGCGGTTTGATGGACATACATTTAAAGAAGCAGACTCTGTGTTAAAGACCCATATTAAGGTGTGTCTCTTTTGTCTTTCAGAAATGTGTGGCATACACTGGCAACAACATGAGGAAGCAGACCCCTGCTCCAGACAAAAAAGAAAAAGATGTGAGTTTGTAGCACTTTTCTGCTCCTACCTGAGATTGTCTTTGTCTTGTGAAATATGTTGCTGATAATGTTTCTAATTTCCCTCCTTGACAATATATTGTTGACTTCTCCCTGTGTCCTGTAGCCGTTCGAGGTGGATCTATCCCATGTGTATCTGGCCTACACAGAGGAGAGCATGCGGCAGTCACTGATGAAGCTAGAGAGACCCAGAACCTCTAAAAGTGGCAAGAGTGGCCGACCCAAGACGGGGCGCAGGTAATCTACTCTTGAAATAACTGATACTCCAGTGAACTGTCAGGATTCTCATAGGTTGTTTCTTTCATCAGACATTTTACTTGACAATTTCGACTAACCTTTTATGCGGGTGTGATTTAATGCATTTTTATGTACACTAAGCCGCATACATGCATCACGTGTTCAGATTTCTTACGTGATTGAATCCACTTCCTCAGTCTATGTGTTAGATGATGTCATGCCTTCCCATAACTTGGGGGTTATAAACCTGAAACTGTTTTGTGATATATATTTTTTAAATATAATGATCCATCCAACACAAACATATGTCCCGCATGGATAAACGTTTAGTGAGTTGATAGCCTCCCTCCCTGACCCATACAGATCATTCAGATCAGTGCTCATATAAAAAAACAGCACTTCATCAGTTTCTGTATGACTGCAAGATAAAAATAGTGAGCTGAATTTGCTGTTACTTATCGTGTGACAGCAAGAGAGATAGCTGATTTCAGCGTCATTTTATCACTTCAGCTTCCATTATCACAGGAAAAGGTTGTTAACCTCAACTTCCATAGACCGGTCACAGGCTTAGAAGGGAGGTGTAATGACTGTAAATGCCTTTTTTAGACACTTTAACACTTTTCAACATCTGGCAAGATATAACTCAGCCAGATTTAAATAAACCTCTATTTCTTCTTCTCATACTTCATTGGAATTTACTGCAGTCTTAACTGTTGATCAGCTGGTTTTCTGCAACTTTACTTGCATGTGAAACTCAGTCCATTGGTTTAAAAACGTTTTTAATCTTTACCTATTACACTCTATCACAATTTACTCCTGAGTAGACAGAATCCTCGTTGGCAGATGTTTGCCCACTCTGTATAATTAGTGCATTTATGGAATGTCAATACGAAGCAATAGCATAATGGTATTTGCCGTTATCATGATACGCTGTTATTCCGAGAATTGAGAGCGCTGAAAGCTTCTGCAGTTGTTGATAAATCTTATCTTCACACAGGAAAAGATCTGCAAAGCCAGACGCTGTGATCGAATCCCTCCTGCAGTGAAGGCAGAGCAGAGGGGAGCTTGGTTTCCATGCAGCTTTCGTGTTACCTTAGGAAAACAAGTGTCTGAAGAATTGTATTGTTGAACATTATTTAAAAGATTATCTGAATACACTGTATAGCTGGTATGGTTTAAATGTGACGGAGCAGCACCAAGGATAGGATTAAGACCCCTTGGCCAAAAGGACATGCTATTTGTATTATACTGTAAGGTTTCTTTATGGATGTTAAACCTTTCAATCACGCTTTGAAATGCATTTTTGCGGCATCAGCCTCAATAAAAAAACCTTTTACCTAAGAGCCTCCAACATTAAAGAAAAAAAAATAACCATAAACATTTTGCACTTGCATCATCATTGGTTTTGAAAACACTTATTGGACATAAACTATAAACTGCATTCATATCTTCTGACATTTGCTGAATATATTTAACATACTTTGCTTTTTGTGATGAAGACTTACTGAATTCCTGCTAATTCAGGGCGTATTTTCACTTAAAGTAAAGCAATGATTCTGCTCTGAGCACAAGCTGTAGCGTTAGTGTTTTTTCCCATTGACTACAAGAAATCATAAACATGGAGAGAAACTTATATTAACACTAATAGTGAAGGAGGGAATTTAGCATCATGAAACTAAAACGTGCATTCTATACATTTTCCTTTGGATTAAAGGATAGGGGCCTGCATGCCAGCTCTTTAGTCAGTGCCATTTGCGTATCCAAGCAAGTCATCTTTTTGTTTATTAACAAATGTCAAAACCCTTTGTGTTATATTGAAAATACACTTTACATATTGTATGCCTTAGGTAAATGCACTAGTAGGATGTTTTTGTGAAAATAATTTGATTTAATAATGTTCTGTAGTGGAGGATAACTGACTTTTATTTTGTATCATATTGTATGTCAAATGTTTACATCCATTAAACCCCTGGATATTTTATTTATTAAATTATTTTACACCTTTTATCTCAGGTCTTTGTCGCTCCTTCTTGGTTGCATTGATTCCTAATTGTGCTTTTTAAAAGTTTATGATGACATGTAAATTATTTTTTAAATGCATTTGCTCAAACAGCTATTACAGGTGGACTGGGCAGTTTTACTTCAATGATGAGGATGAATTGCTAATACCAAAAGCATTATAAACAGAGAAGCTGGGAAACATGTACTTTACCAACAAACCACTGTGCCATAATTTATTTATATAAATACAAAACGACAAAAATAAAATATTTAGGAAAATAAATATATCAAGTCTTAGAATAAATAGAAATAACTTAAATATGACATGTTAATAATATAATACATTTGATCACCCAAAAATCTTGATTTTTTCACAGGTCTTGATCTCGTCCAGAAGAGCTTTCAGGGTACAGTTAACATTCGTGTCCAGGGCACAAAAGGTAGTGTGTTTCTGAAAGAAAATGTTAAGGAACATTTTAGTTTCAAGCACAGAACAAAACTAAATACGAAGTAAAGTGATAAACAACATGTTGGACATCAAAAAGCATATTCGTTGTTAGACTGTGAGCCTCTTGATTCACTAATTCTCATTTAATGTATGATTAAAAAGTACATCAATCCCATTGAATTCCTCCTTACCAGGTTGTATTGAAACAACTGACGGATTAGTTTGTCTGTTTTGTTGAACAACTCTCTATGTGTTTTCCTTAGAGCCATCTCAGCCAAGCAGAGGAACGTATCCTGCAAAGAAAAAGGCACAATTAGTAATGGTCTTTAAAAAGCTGGTGGTAGGACTGAATCAGTATAAAGAAACCAGTTGACCTTCAACTTGAGAAGCTCCATGCCAAAGTGTGAACATTGCAAATGTCAGGTGTAGGCCTACATATTCTTAATTAGAAAAGTGTTCTAACTTACCAAAGAAGGAATTTCCTCGCATTCAATCTTTGTCACCGGCGAAATCAAATCTCCCTACGAAAGAATAAGATCAATAGGTCAGTATTGGACAACAACAAACAAACAACCATCCTACTTATTTGTGCAGTTATCTTACCTGAGTCAGGGATTCGTTTAGATTTCTAGCCTCGTTTCGAATCTCTGCGAGCATAACGGCTGTTGAATGTGGTGGTGCTGCGTAGACCATCACGGCCATCATCAGCACCATGAGATATTGAGTGTTAAAGTTCTTCATGCCGTTTTTGAAAGAGACTTTGAGTTAGCACTGTTAGGTCATACAGGAAAGTTGAATACACTACATGCTCTGTGTTGCTACTTATATATTGTCACCATACAACACTTAGACCACAATCTACACGTCAGCGGAAAACACCAAATAAGGATCAGAGGAAGATTTGTTTTACTATCACACTTTCCACTATTTGTAGAGTCATCTCTTAGTAAGAGATTACCTGTTTATCCCTTATCATCAAATGTCTCAGCAAGACTTGCAGGTCATCACTATGTCTTAACATCTTTAGAAGGATGTCCTTAAGTCAATGGAAAATGACATAAAATCTGATCCTATTATTCCAAATTTCACATCATTTTATGAAGAGTATTTTTATAATGACTGTGTCCTCTTGAAATAGATGCTCACAGACATTTTCCACGCTTGACATTTAGACTTGTTGCAACAGAACGGCACAGGTGGAGCTGATGAAATAAATGAGAGTGACTTGTTTTCACTAAAGTGTGGGACAGAGAGGCAGAAGGCAGCCACTGTTAATAAGATTATTATTATTAGACACACTTGTGTGTTTTGATATGACAAAATTACTATGGTGGGTGGGCACCGAAATATTTTTGAATGCTTTACCCGACACATAAAAGGGAACATGTGACTGACAGAAACAATTACTGCCAGTTAAAGTGTCCTTATTTACTCTCATTCCTGAAATAGCCAACAGGATTATGTTGTTATAATGTAATTAAGACAAATGAACTCATGTTTGACAAATAGAACTTTACCAAAAATGAAAAATAATTTAAATAAAATAGGGCTGATTTTGATTGATAATACCATCATTTTGCAGAGTAGGAAAGTGATTGGAAGTCTAAACTGATCTTGAGTTATTTGCATATTACATAAAATGACAACCTTGGTCCCAGACATTTTAGTGACTTGTACGGTTTGGAAACGATATCATTTCCTTTTTTGGTTCATCGATGGTGATAAATAATGTGAAGTATAGTTTATGAACATTAAGAGTCATTAATATTTTTATTTTAGTAGCATTTCCTTGATATGATTGGTCTAAGTTTGCATGGTTTGTTTGATTAATCTTTCATTATTTCTCATGGCGAATTATCTTGTTTTCTTTTCGCTGTGTATTTAAGCATTTCAGACAGCTTTACTAAACTGTTATTCTAAAATGAGGTTTTGAAATGTGAAAAAAATTATGTAACGTCCACTCTGTCAAATAAAGTATGTGCTGATAACACCATTTGATTCACAGTTTGATTTCATTTCATTTCATTTCAAACCTTTATTTAGACAGATTGGTCCCTTGAGATCATCGATCTCATTTACAAGGGAGACCTGCATCATTTAGTTCAGTGGTTCTCAAACTTTTTCTGTCAGGCCCCCCCTTTGGAGAAAAAAAAAAGTCGGGCCCCCCCAACACAAATAGTCAGGCTCAGTGGCGGCGCCAGAGATTCTATTTTGGGGGTGCTGTGGGGTAGCTTGACGTTTCATAGAGGGTGCTCAAACATTTAGGGTTTCCCATTAATGTACTGGTCGCTACAGTGGAATGTTCTACTGCAACAATCCCCACACACACACACACAGTGTACCCGCGACTGTTACAATGAAAGCTCGATAATCAGCTCACGGCATATAGGTTTAAGCAGGGGTAAAGTGTTATTTTTATAGGTGGTGTGTGGACCTCACATAGGGGGGTCAGGGGGCAAGCTCCCCTGGGAAGATTTTTAAATATTGAAGTTAAAAGCATCAATCTGGTGCACTTTGAGAGCAACATGAAGAGATCTATGGATACATCTCTCAACACCCATTTGAAACAGAACTGTAAACAGATTTACTTTTTCTTTATGGATATTTTACAAATCACTCCCTTTTTAACGTTATTCTTTTTTTAATGTCATATAGTATTTCATACCTGTTTTTAATTTATTCTCTTATTTTTTTATAACTATAATGATCATATAAACGAACACAAGACGTCAATTTTCAAAACCGAGCACACCACACACACCTTGCTCGGTAAAACACACCACGCGCTGCACTCTCGCGTGGCGCATGCCTACTAGGCGAGACAAACAATCGAGAGCGCACGATCGCTCGCAGCCGATTGCCTGACATTCCTCAAAAAGTTGTTGTTTCACCCTCCTCTCAGGAGAGGACCAGTCTTACTCTCTGAGTCACTCGATTTCCTGGAAGTCAAAATAGAGTCACCCCAGACGTTTCGCAAAAGCCAGGGTAATTACTTTGTTAATATAAAGTGTC